GGTTATATCATGTATACGCTCGTCGTGCGTGTACACGCTTGGGAAATGAACACGTGGCGTATAAATACGGGGGCCGCCGCGATGGAACGCGGGATGAAATTTTATACGCGGACCCGGGAAATCGATTTCACCCGATGACGGGTTATGTAAACTCCGAATTGCACGGAGCTCCTGTAAATACGAGTAAAAATGAGCGGGAGAAAGGGAGAGCGAGATAAAGAGAGAGAGAGAGAGAGGGAGAGAGGGATCGTTCGATCCAGAGTCACGGTTGGAAAAATATTGTAACGGGGTGTCCTTTTTTTCGGAATCGTTACAGGGTGGCGCAACTGACCGGATACAACCCGTCGGATCTGATCGAGAAGACGTTGTATCATTACGTGCACGCGTGCGACGCTTGGCTACTGAAGTACAATCATGAAGTATGTAAGTACTGGCTCACGAGTGATTACCAACACTCATTAATCATTCAATACGAGAGTCCTCTGAATTCCCGAAGCGACATTCCGCTTGTTACGCGACGATGGCTGAGACTCGGCTTTCCCTTTCGTTGGATGCCGATAGTAGCGATTCAACGGCGATCGAGAGTCTTGAACGCTGAAATAATCTGCGTACTCGTTTTCAACAAATCTGAGATTCTATCTGAGACCCGACCGTCGAGCTTCTGGCAAATATGGGCACGACGGACTCATGGAATGTAGCATTGAACTTTGTTTCTTTGAATTGTGGTTTAGTTTCTCTGCAAAAGCAGAAGCTTTTGTCGATCAAAACTGAATAGAGACGAATAACACCGTTCATCGAGAGATTCTGTCACGAAAATTTTGAGCGTTTCGTATGTTAACACTAGAACTATCAAGCATCGAAATTGACTTTTCGAGATTCCTCTATAAAAATTGACAGGAATGCATCTATTGAAGCTTCAATTGATTTACAATTTAGTTTGCGTATTAATCACTTCTCAGAGGCGAATCTGTTATATTTTTAATAATCGCGAAAAGGAGAAATCAGGAATGGATAATTTTGACTCGTTCGGTAGTTCTAGTGTTAAAACTTACACTTTCGTAACAACGTAAAATGATACTAAAAACAATTACTAATCTGATATCACAGTACTAATGCTTCATTATTACTTAGTTACTTAAGTCATTAAATATTTTTATCCCATTCGGAGCTCCAGTCATCGATGACCACCGTGACAGTCAACGTTAACCCTAGATTTACAGAACGAGCCAACTTGACTCACATTGAATTTTATAAGCATTACTTGGCAAATCTTTGGGTTAAATTTTATTAAAGCAGTTATGCAAATATATATCCTAATTTTCTCTTGAACCTCAATTTCCAAGATCTAAATAAACGAGCAGCAATTTCTCTAAAAACAGTACAACAAACTATCAATATGTACACTATCAATAAATCTAGTGTCAAGGGGTTAAAATCGCGATACACCCGACCTGCTTCCCGTGCCCCAGACCATTCTACCGGGTGACACGATAGGAACTAACATATTCGCTAGGATCTCCTCTAAGTTCAGCGATTGCTTACCCCCAAACTTCCGCGTCGTTTCCTCAATTCGAAAGCTCATAGAAGTTCTCGTACGAAAAATTCGGAACAAGCGAGTAGCGGGGTGTCGGCCGGAAATAGGCCCTATTTCCACCGCGGCGCGGCGTCCGAGAGCGGTCTCGGGGGCGTCGACGTGGTATCCGAGTGCTCGAAGAAGAGGCTCTCGCAAGGCCAGAAGCAGCTGACGCTGCTTAACTCGGCGACGCCCCGGCTGGCGAAATATCCTTTGATCTTTTCCTTTCTCCCGTCCGCGGTAGCCGAGTTTCGAGGAGAAGCCCGGCACCACCGGCAACTGTAACAGCATTTCCCTTTTTCTCCTCTTTTTCCTCCGCCTCCGTACGTCACTGTACGTAGCCGCGATCGAGCCCGCCCGCGCGCCAACACGTTAAACATCTAAGTATGTGCACACGCGGTACATACAGGGTGTACATTATTGATTGAACAATGCCGCCGCGCTGGTACAGGCGGAGAGCAAAGGAGAGAGCGCGCACCGTTGTGTGTGTACGCGCGCACGTGAACCAGGGACGGTGTGTGCGCCAGGGCGAAAGGGGCGGGAGGGCGGCGGCACTGTTCGCAGCGGTGGTGGATAGAAGGAAAGAGGGATAAAAGGGGGTGGCGCAGAAGAGGGCAAGAGAGGAGAGGCTGTTACTGCTATCACTGTTTGAACAGACTCGCAGTTTCACGAGCGCGACTCGAAGGGAGCCCTGACATAATGCCGCTAATGTCTGCGCCTGCGGATTGCACGATCGACGTTACGCCCCAAAAATTTTCTTTCCGCCCGCCGTAACTCTCTGTTCCTTGCAATCTATGCTGAGATCTAAATCCGAGGCAGGACTCTGCTCTTCGTTTTAACCGCTCGCACTCGGGGGGTGTCTCTTGGACATTTGATGCAGCGAAATTAGAACGAACATCGCGTAGGTACCTGTCGGTATAAGAAAAAATGAAATATTGAAGAGGAAAGCTGATATAAGTTTTAGAAATACGTATTCATATAGCTTAACGAAAGAATCGAACTAACGAACGAAATTCAGATCGCGTAAATTATCTGTCAAAACCGCGTAGTGTTCCAGTTTACCGCGTGAGAAGTCCACGTAAATCGAGGTGTGCAATGCATCAGTGAAATGTTGAAATACAACTGTTTCTTAATTTATGTATGTTATTATTAAAGGGATGTCGTCTATGTCGTAGAATATTGAACATTTGTAGTATCAAACTGTCGAGTGCTAAGGGTTGAATAGCTGCTTGGCTATTGGGAGCAGACGGGGCTTAAACTGGAACTATCGAACCGACCCATTCCTAAATTCTCCTCTCAATGATTAAAAAGAGACGCTTCTCTGCGAAATTACTAAAGAAATTTGATTTTGAGCAAACTGAATCGTCAATCGAAATCTCAATGCATCCTTAGAGTCCCACAGAAGAATCTGAAAGTGTCAGCTTGAGTGCCCGGTAGTTCTAAGTTGGAACTCGGCTAGAACTTCAATGTTCTTTTGTACAACTAGTACAATAGTATTCACGGATCCACGTTTCCTTCTTTTGTCGACAGTGTTGTGCAAGGGCCAAGTGACAACGAAGTACTACAGGTTTCTGACGAAGTACGGAGGATGGGTCTGGATGCAGTCTTGCTTCACGGTGGTTCACAATTCCAGAAGCTCCAGGCCGCACTGCGTCGTCTCGGTGAACTACGTGTTGACGGAGCGAGAGTGCAAGGACCTTTCGCTAAGCTGCGAGCAGACGTGCTCCTGCTCTAGCCCTGAGAATCCGCCTAGCGCGGCTCTGGAGGCGCCGACGCCTGGCAGCGGGGCGAACGATTTGGACAAGCATGATCTCAGTCCGCCCGCGTTTAGGAGCAGGACCAAGGAACCGGACGATAATCATTACACAGACTTGACCGCTTATTCGAACCAGGAATACATCGGGTCGACTAACCATTACATGTCATCGCCTTACGGGACCCATAGCGTGAACGGCAACGCTCACGAAGACGGGTCGTACTACAACTCCGATCTCTTTTACCCATATGGAGGTAAGGAGACTAACTGGTAAACTTTAGAATGCTCTTTCTGCTAGATTGGATGAAATGTTTAACACGTTGAATGCCATGGGGGTATTGTAGTTTACTCGGTTAAACTATGGTTATTTGAAAAGATTCTATATTATAAATAATGCTGCCTACGGTGACATTCAGCTAGATATGCAATAATAATGCAATTCAAATGATCTAATATTATATTTCCTCGATTTGGGTAGTTTGCTCTATGAAATCGTGCGGCATTCGGCGCGTTAAGCATTACTTTGCTACTATGTCTAGCAGAAGAAATACTACTATATAAGCTTCAGTTTAACCCTTTGCGGACGAAGATTCGAAATATAGAGAACCGTCGGCAGATGAAGCTAAATTATACATCGGTCATTTAGATAATTGGAAGAAGCGAACTACGTACTAGTCTACGGCTATAAGTCTACGACTTATTAAATATGAACATCTGATTCAAAAGCTCGTTCGTAAAGGGTTGACTCGCTATTCGAAATTACACGACGATCCCCGTGCACTAACGCATTAAAATACAATTATCCACGACAGACATGCATCAAGATCCCCTCGCGTCGGTCCAGCAGCAACAGGAAGCGCAGCACCCGCACCTCCTGCACCACGCGAACTCCTTAACGAACCTGCAACAGCATAGTCCCCAGAACGCTCAACAGGACCGCCAGCATCCCCCTCACCTGCTGCACCACGCGACACCGTTGCCGAGCCTGCAGCAGCAGCAGCAACAGCAACAGCAGCAGCAGCCGTTGCAGCAGCACAGTCCTCAAGGTAATCAGCAGAGGAGGCCGTACTCGACACCGTCGAGTTTCTGTCGCCGGCAACACACACCCCCGATAGGGATAGTGGAAGGTGTGATCATGTATCCGAACTGCGGATTCAACAGCGAGGACAGTTACAGCGCTAACGCTGGCAGCCTGCAGCACCACGAGGCCTCCTACCTGCCGCATTCCGATTACCATAACGCGAACAATAATCCCGTCAAGTATCCCCATCATCATCTAGAATCCACCCCCGCCGGATACACCAGCGTGATAGTCGACTCGCAGCAGATCCGCGACGGGGCGGGGCACAACAACAACCGTCGGAGCAACATGGAGAATCGCTTGAGCACCGAGGACTGCGCGGACCTGGCCGTCGAGTCGCAGCAGTACAGCACCGTGATCGACGCGCAAGATGGCGGGCAGGTGCACCAGGCGAGTGCCGATTTGAGGACGTACACGCCAATAGCGCCCGTTGCTTACGTGACTCCGAACAACCATTTTTGCCGGGGCATGAGGGTGATGAGCAGCGAGTGAATCGATCGCGTGGCGAACACGACTTTCGAGGAGTGTGTGCGCGGACTGTCACGATTCGGACTGCGATCGGTTTCCCTCGGGTGACCGTTGGAACTCGTGTCCTCTACGGTGTATCGACGGGATGATCCACTATCTTGTTTCGCTCTTAACGCCGATGTAACCGGACATTTTTAGGGGTGTCGCGGTTTTAAGGGACGCAGTGGATCACGTGTCGGTACGCTCGGCACTTAAAGGAACGATGACTGTACGAGCTTTTATTTCCGATCGGGGAGAACCGAGTTTCTTGGTTCTCCGAGCTGTCGGTCGTTAGATCTGTTGCGTATACTTTATTCACATATCAAGGCGTGCTCTTCGTTCGAGGCGTGCTAGGACCTTCGAGGAAACGAGCCTCGCAGTAACATCGCGATGATGTTGGCTCTTTAACACGTTGATTGTCGATGAATTCGAGAACACTAACGTTTGTCTGCTTTACGATTCGGGTGATATTTAAGATACATTGGTGAACATTGTCAATATGGATATACTAAATATAACGACAGTTGTTATACAAAAATCGCTGGATAGTCAACGTGTTAGATATCAAGTTAATGTCGCAAAATGTTTCTGCGAACAAGATTCCTGCCGAATAGGATCGCGATTTCAAATCTCGTTCACGACGTACGATTAAGCGGTGTTGATCAGGTCGAGTTTATTGTTCGTATTCTCGTTTGACTATTTTCATTACCGACGATATTCGCTGGACGCGTTAGTTGACATTTGTGCTCGTTTGATCGCGTATTTGACCGAAAATTCTTCATTGACGATAATTTAACCCTTCACCGGCAATACGATCTTCCAACGCGACTAATGCGAACCTTTTACGATCGAGCTCAATTTTTCATCTTTTCAACGAATTCCGAAACACTTATTAAAGTCCTTAATTTAATATACAATTGCTTAATCCTCTTAGTACCCTACGATTTTCCATGGTCCCAGAAATACGCAGAAAATAAAGATATATCTTCACTTTCTTTTTAATTCATTATAAAAATCTCTGTAACAAGCAAACCGAAATATCTGCTCACGAGTACTAAGAGGGTTAAGTCGCATCTCTATAAAACTTCGCGACAGAAACTCTAAATCGCGGTGAAGTCACAAAGAAATGAAACTTTCGATAAAACTCTAATGATCTGTATCGCAAGTGGAGGGTTAATAGAGGATTAATTGAATAGGTCATTCGGACGGACAATCGAACTCCGCGGGATTCAACGGGAAAAAAGGGAACACGAAGATTCGAGGCTCGACTTGAAGCTCGGTGAAACGTGTTTCCGCTGGAATTCACGCTGGACGTGATTGCCCGACATTCTGTCGCCCACGGAGGACGAGCCGAAACGCGTGCACCGAGATTCCGCGGGACAAGAGGCGCGGAAGCGTTCCGGCAGGCGCGAACGAACGAAGATCGCGAGGTTCGCCGACGAATCTGTTGCTTCGCAGACGTTGTTTCTGTAAATACGAGGACGGAAGAGAATCGGGAAGTGTCTAACATCGGATTGTCTTTCGAGACGGCAGCGTGGCGCGATGTACATAATCGTAGGCGTGTAAATTACGTAGTCGTCGTAGCGATTAAGGACGTGTACATATTTGATATTTCTAACATAGGATCCGAAGACTGACCGGTGCTTGTACCAACCGACCAAAGAAACACGCCCTTGTTGGAATAGAGACAAACGAGAGAAACGGAGAGAGAGAGAGAGAGAGAGAGAGAGAGAGAGAGAGAGAAAGGAGAAAACGGAAGGAAGAATTACGGGAACGTAATACATTGTTATATTTTTATCCGCGCACGTTCGACGCGATGGACCGACAAGTACGTGTACTTGCAATACTGTATATAAATGGTAACCTGGTGGTCTCCGTAAACTTAACCACTGAAGTATTTTAACCCTCTATAGGCCCCTGTGACTTTCAAGTCACGCATTAATATACTCGGTTAAATTCATCTAATTTTTTCCACAAAATGAAATAATTAACACTAGAACTACCGAGCAGTCAAAATGGGTTTTGATTTTTTTGTTCCGCAATTACTGATATAAAGGCATTGAATATTCAAAATTATCTTGAAAATCAATAGTTTTACTTGACTAATATAATGAATATCCGAAGAAACTGAAAATAATCTATTGTTACAATTTTTATGGGAATTATATATTAATCGTGTTAAATACACGGTAGTTCTAGTGTTAAACTTTCATACACAGAGACATTACGTTGACATCATTATAATTTCGAAGTTATGAAATATATTCGTTTTAATAAGATTATTGAGTCTATTTAAAATACATCGTTACTTTGTATTTACACGTTATCTATGAATTCATAGTGCACAAAGTTCGTTACAGTCAAAAATTCGGCCAATAGTGGGTTAACAGAAACATCTGAGCGAACCCCTCTGTTTTCTCGGCGCATATCCGGTAACGAGGAAGCGGACCGCCATGTATAAAACGCCGCGTGTATACACCGTAATCTTATTATTATTTATATCGATGTAAATTAAGCGGGTCTCGCGGCTCGTAGAGGAGGGATCGTCGCGTTGTACGATAAACTTAACATTGTAAGCGATTGTAAATATTGTACAAGTATTTGCGCGCGCTGCATACCTATGCGAGAGAATATAGTCATATTTTCCTCTGACGATTCAGCTCATTGCCATTCGTTCACCGATGATCCTCTTTTTAGGCGGGTCGAACGTTCGCCGCCGACTCGAACCTGTTGATCGTAGTTGCAACCGGGTAGAAACGCAGTTTGGTACGAATCGGTTGAATTGAAGATTTCTTTTTGGTTCGAGGAAGAATTCTCGTTCTCTGATCGGATCGGTACGATCGTTTGATTTCTCTGTCTGTCACGCGGAGATAGTTTGCTCTCGAATCCTGGGGAACTAAACTGATCAACTTTGTTTCCCGCGGGTTTCTCGATTTATCGTAGCGTATCGGTGTCATTGAACACTTTTATCTTAAACACTTGATCGTATAACGTTGGTTTGTTAGAGTGCCACTACCATTTTCCTTTCGATGCATCGTCGAGTTTCCTTGCTTAGAATTTCTGTGGAGTTGATCGGATTGGCTTCTGCAACGCTCGATTACCATTGTTTTTATAGAGGAACTGGTCGAATCTCTTATTCTGTTTAATAAAACCATGATATTTAAAGAAACGAGTGACGATTATTTTCATTGGGACTCATTCATTCCGCTGTGCAGTGAATTGTTCGTTCGCTCGCTATTAATGCATTGCGTACCGGCTGATCTTCAGAAAACTGAATTGTGATGGCAATATTCACCGTCAACTTATATCATACATAGAAAAACTCAGATATATTATGTAATATATTTTAAATAGATAATCAATTCGAATCAGATTTTATACTTTTTACAATGCTCTGGTAATTAGATAAGTTGCATAGCTAAGTGTCTTTGTATGAAAACGAGATTTCTCGTTGCCAGTGCGCAATGCGTTAACTCGGCCGGCGGGTACCAGTCAGAAATCATTCCGAGCAATTTCACGGCGAATAGATTTTCAATGGCCCGTTAATGTTTGCACCTTGAATACCTGCGCGCGGGCTATTCAACCGTCGCCCCTTCACAGGTGGCGGGATGCCTCTTTTCATTGCGGGGATTCCCCATTACCTCTAATTTGCTCTGCCGCAGGTACCGGCCGAGGACAAGATAACGCTACCGAAAGCACGCTGCATTTCGGTGCCCATTGAATTACGAATGTTAAGCCAAAACATATGGGCTCGGGGGAAGTGCACCCTGCAAGACCCGTTTCTTAATTTACATTCCGCCCGGATTCTCTTTATCCCTACTCGAAATATTTACTTTCACACGCAAACTGATAGAAGTTCTGAATCCTAGAAAATACAATTCGAACGTTACCGTTCACTCGTTTTAACACTAGAACTACCAAGCACTGAAACTGACTTCTATAAATTTCTTTGTAAAACGTATAACTCTATTAAGATTTCAATTGGCTTATATTTCAGTGTAGGTATCACTAAATTAGGTTTGATACTAGATTTACGGAAGCTTGTTTGACTCATATTGAATTTTATAAACATTATTTGGCAAATGTTCGGATGGATTTTGATTGATTCAATTACGTGATTATGGTTCTTAATATATTTTTAAACATTTGATTTCTTAGGTCTAACAATAGATTAAACTGTACAATAAATGTCCGTAAATCTAGCGTTAACGATTTCTCAAAGGATTTGTACCTTTCCAGTAATTATAAAAGAAGAAGAGAAAATAATTTTTAATAAATAGATTCAACAGAAAACATCGTTTTTAATCAGACTTTTGCACGTTGACGCTATTGCTGGATCATGCATGATAATGTTAACAAGTTGAGTGCCGCACGATTTTGCCGAGAAGAATGTACAAAATGAAAATAACCTAATATCAGATTATACAATTGAAATGCATTATCATTGCAGATTTATCTTGTCGAATGTCGCTACGTTAAGTAGTATTACTAACAATACAGAAAAGTTTCGAAATGATCATCGTTTAATCGAATAAATTATAGTAATTCAATTTGATCGAGATCACCGGTGACCCCATGGCAACCAACGTGTTAACAGAGAAATCTCGTTTTTATATAAAGACACTTAGCTAATTACCGCAGCATTGAAAAAATATAAAATTTGATTCGAATTGATTACCTATTTAAAATATATTACATAACAATATATCTGGGTTTCTCTATGTATAGTGATATAAGTTGACCTCAGTGAAAATTGCCATCACAATTCAGTTTTCTGAAGATCAGCCGGTACGCGATGTGTTAATTAATGAAAGTGTGAAATTATCTGATTATTAGATGCCAGTAAGTAGTACGGCTGAAGTATGTCAAGTAAATCCACGACAGGGACAATTGTGAGATCGTGAGAAGGCTCACCGCACAGTACGAACCACCGGTTAGCCGGCGACAATGGCACAGAGGATCACGTCCCAGCATCCGGCCTCAGCGCCCCTCCAGCGAAACAGAAGAAAACAACGATCCTGTTTTTCTCCGGCGTTCCCCCGATTGTCACTGGGCCGGCACGAACAATAAATTAATTGTGCCTCGTACGATTCCTGGGTTAGCTTTCGGTGGTCGCGTGCTTGCCTGCATGGGGTCGCTCGTGAACAGGGGCACGTGCCTCTTTATAATCGCCGTCAGGCCAGCTCCGCCATTAAAGAGAAATCTAAAAAGACAGGTCCCACCAGCCAAGTCATTTCCTACGAATCGCTGTGCGATCGTGTAATTTCAGCTTTCGTTAAATCACCGAGAGAAACAATTTGACACGTTGAACGCCGCACGATTTCATAGAGCAAAGTACACGGAATGGAAAAAATACAATATCGAATCATTTGATTGAATTGCGTTATTATTATCGCACATTCATCTAGCTGAACATCACCACATTAGGTAGCATTATTTATAATATAGAAATGTTTCAAAATATCGTCTTTATCCCATCAGAAAATGTCAGAATATATCCAATGAAAAACTTCCGAGTGCAAAGGGTTAACCCCTTGTCGTACGATGACGAGTGAGACTCGCGATGAAGATTTCTAGACTAATTTAACAACAATGTTATTCATTACCCATGGATCAAAGCGAACTATTTTGCTATTATCATTGTACTATCTTCAAATAAAATTTCCACTTGAAGTAGAACGGACAATTTTGCTGCATTCCTTCCAAATTGTCGATAGTAAAATGGTACATCAGCTTAGTGGCGAAAGTAAATGGTACGCCAAGGGGTTAATGATATCTATTACCAGCATGTATCCTTGATTTATATAGCTCCTTTGTAATAATAACATTCATTTCTGAGTACATATACGACGAAATTTCCTGATTAAACAACTGAGGCCCAGTGTGCTAAAAACTCCAGAATCACGGGAATTAAATTCGCCCCGTAGGACGGACGTGGACAGGTCTATGAATACACGTCGCCGATGATGTTGGTGTAACGAGGACAGCGGCTAAGGGTGTTCAGCGTTCACGAGGGCTGCTATTATCGGGCGTGTGTGACTGGAACGACGATCGCACCGGAGGAGGGCGAGCCGCGTGCGCCTCGTTAAATTCTTCGGACGGTGAATGCGACGCAGCCACGATTCTGTGAAATTGTGCGATCATTCGTCACAGGATGCACCGTTCGCCGACGGCAACGCTCGCGTCACGTCGAATCCCTGCCCCGCGATTAAAGCGACGAACACCGTGAACAGAGGAAATCGGTCAAAGACGTTCCACCGCTCGACCCTTAACCTTTGGCGCTCCTATGTCGAGTCAGACTTCTATTTTATTGCAACCTCTACCTGTTTTAACAATTTTTTCTATGTTTACTTGTGGTATCACAATTGTACCATTTAAGGGTAACATTTCAATGACTCCCAGATATTCTTGAATAAATAAATAGAGCGTATTAAGCTGTAATTGAATGAACTGACGTCGACGTGAACCTCAAAGTGAGAAACCAAGAGCACTTCGGAACGCAAAGGGTTAATTTCTAGACATTCTTGACATTTTCTAGACGAATTCGAGGAGATTGACAGAGATTGGAAGATTTCACCCTTTGCACTCGAGAGGTGACTTCCGGTCACCATTTGATTCGATATAAGAAAATTACAAAGTGTCATAATGCAACGATATGTGAAATATTTATATAAAATAGCTTTGTTTCTTAACACAAGATAATCTTCTATTATCTTCAATTGAACTGATCAATTAATTTGGTGGAAAATTAAATGTTCTGTTTTGTGAAAACAAGAACCGCATTTGATGAATTGCGAGTATTGTAATTCGTTTGTTTGAACGGAAATAAGGGAAATTGATTCTGGTTAGCAGTTTTATCTGAGAACAATTGTACTCGATTCTTGATAGGAATTAATGGAGCTTTTAGACGTTAATTGTACAAGAAATATTACATTATGATAAAGAATTTTATAAAGGATTTTATTTTTTATTTATTTCTTTCTTATTATTTGTTATTAGTAGCTGCCGACTGTAAAAACTCGGAGTGCATTGCAAACAGATTTTTGAAAGATTATAAAGATTAAAGGATTCAACGGCACGTGCAATACATCTTATTATATTTCACCGCGAGAACGAAAGATCAACACGCGACGATGCGACTGGATGCTGGAAGAACAACATATGTCCCGTGCCGGGGTTTATGAGAAGCACAGCGAGAGACTGTAATCCCGGACGATTAGGAACATAAACGCGGATCCGCGGGGTGCGGTTAAGCTAAACACTCGACAAGTTGCGTGTGCAATGGAAACACTTAAATGAATCCGCATAGGGGAGGCAGTCGAATATTATAGGGGGTTCTAACAATTTTCCTCCAAAACCTCTATTTCTCAATTCTTCGAAACATAAACATAAAATGATTTATACCAACGTGACGCTAAAATATTCGATCATTCATTAACCCCTTGCCCTATAGTAACATGTCAAACACGTGATAGATTTCAAACAGAATTGAACTAAAGGTTTGCACGATCCTTTTGAATTCAAGTGAAACATTATTCTTCTACTATCAATTACACTTCGGAGTAAAGATTGATATAGAATACGCCTGCAATTGTTTTCCTTAACAAATCATTAATGACATAGTAGTTCTATTTCCTTCTACTTCTATTTCTCAATTCTTTGAAACATAAACATAAAATGATTTATACCAACGTGACGCTAAAATATTCAATCATTAACCCCTTGCCCTACAATATGTCAAACACGTGATAGATTTCAAACAGAATTGAACTAAACATTTGCACGATCCCTTTGAATTCAAGTGAAACATTATTCTTCTATTACCAATTATTAGTAAAGATTGACATAGAATACGCCTACAATTGTTTTCCTCAATAAATCATTAATAACAAAGTATCAATCGTAGCGGAGAAGTGAATCATAGATCAAGGAACTGACATTCTTCATCTTCACTTCATTATATTCCTCAACTCCACACTATTCTCAACCAGCAAACACACCAATATTACCTATAAGACATACATCCTTCCAAAGAAACATCTCAATACAGATTCCCCAGTACCATCAGACAAAATCCTTCGGCCCGACGGAGTAAAGCCCCTTATCGTGCGTAAACACAACAGATGGATAACCCAGATTTCCGGACAGCCCGGCTACAGCTCGAAAAAATGCCCGATAAAGTCGCGGATGCAAATATCTGCAACGTTTCCCCGGTGCGGAGGCGCGGGATATTTCACGGTAGTATGGTGGCCGGAACGATCCCGGCCGCTGTGGTACGCTACCGGTTACGGATAGTCGCACGCACGCGGGGGTGGGTTGCGTCGCCGGGAGTGTACACGGGGAAAAACCGGGCCGCGCGCGCGCGCGTATTGTAAATCCGGCGTGTAGAGGCCAGGTGGCGCTTTCCGGGGCTGTGTGGGTGCACGGCGGTAACACAGCCGAGCGCGAGCCGTGCACATGCACGCGCAACACGTGCGCACGGGGGTACATACGCACGGGGGATGGGCCTGTGCGCAATCAAGGCGAAGGGGTGCTTTGGCAGAGTCGCCCCGCGGTAACCACGGCGACGGCACGTAACGCCGCCCACAACCCTCGGGCTGTCTTGTCCGATGTGTTTGCTCGATGATTTTATACCAATTACGGCCTATCCCCATGCTATTGCCTACTCCCCGTGGCATCGTCTGTATCCCTACCCCACGTCCTCATCGCCACCCACTCCGACGACGTCGCGTGTGCCGGCCGGAAGGTGCTCCACTTCCGCTCTAAAAGCGACCAGCGAGTACTTGGAGCCGGGGCATCATCGCACGGATTTCCCTGGGTCCGTGTGCGCGCCCATCGAGTCAGTAGCTCGACGTTACCCTTTTGCCATCCGACGCTCGGGGAACGTTGTACCTTCGACTTTCTTCGATTCCTCTTCGTCCACTCCTTGGACCGTTCTGGATAGTGCCATGCTCTTTTAGGCTTGACGGGGATTTATTCGGTTCGATGATTCTTGTACTTGTGGATGAGGGGATCAGGCAATGGGGTGGTGTTGGGTTTCCTGAGAGAGAAATAGTGAGACCGGATAGGGAGGTTTCCGTAGGACACACATGTCTGGGAATTTGATGAATGATGAGCTGGGATAGTAGTCCACTTGTTTGGGTATGTCATTTGTGAGTAATTGTGTGGATTGCTTTGATGAGTTTCAAGGAGTGATGAGAGTTTTTATTTGTGGAATGAAATAATGGAAAGTTTGCAACATAATAGTCTTTATTATAAACAGTATAAGTTATTAACAAAATGGGTACATTTTCAGGATTCAGTGGCTACGATCTTAGGATTCGATCTGCCAGTAATTAATATAAGTATGTTAGGAAATGTACCCAGTATGATTTGTATTAATCTACTTAACAGGTGTTTACTTCTATGATCTATTAATGCCTTTAGTTATGAACACACACGGTTCTTACATTTGTATCCAGCGGTTTGAAGTATACGGCGACATCTACTAGTAATTGAGTGCAACCGATTCGAAAAATCGCAGACTTGTGGTACTGTGAAATTACGAACGAGGTATCTAGCGACATCTACCGACGATGGGATGAAATGTTTCGGAAGAATTTGTTCCACCGTTCGCCGGATACAATGTAGTTTATAAAAAATAATATTCATTAATTTATATTTAATTCGAATTGCTTCTATTTAATACTTTCTTTAATACAGAGATTAAAGTGATCGTTCCGGCATTCGAAATGTTCACCGCATTAACCGGAACGACAACGAAGTTTTACATAAATGACTGTATATGTATAGATAAATAAGTTTTATGGCAAATGATTATATGACTAAATTTACGTGAGTCTTATCTTTATGAATATCTTACTTCACGAATTCAGCACAAGATATAATTAATTTATTCTAATCGATGGTCGGTTGATGTTATATGAGAGCGTTCGATGAAATTTCTTCGACACTTACGATACATTCATCCTCAAAATTTCGATCGTGCCTCGTGATAAGTGCCGTACTGGTCTTTATTCTTCATCCCGTAATCATCGTTGAAGTTTTCGGAACCGCTATACATCGAGAAACCACGACGCGATAGCAGTTCACCTGGCACAATCGTGGGATTCGTGTAACAAAAATCTGCCATCATACTCGTTTGTCTATTTAATTGATTCGACCTAAAACAGTCCCATAATGTAATAAAACCGCCTCCTTGAAATAAAAGTACATTCTATAAAAACAACCGTATATCTTACAGGTAACTCAAGATCGTTTCTACAAAATATGATTTAACAGTTTACAGTTCTAACGAGAGATCTAGCAAGATTTTTCTCTAAACAACACAAGTTAAACTAAAACCTATGAAATTGTAAGAAATAGTAATTCATAGAAAAAGATTCACGTGTCCTTAACACGTTGAATGCCATGGAGTCACCGGTGACCCACAAATCGAATTAATATAGTTCACTCGATTGAACGATTATTTCGAAACATTTCTATATCACAAATGATACAACCTAATGATGACGTTCAGCTCGATGAATGTGCAATAATAATAATGCATTTCAATCAAATGATTTAATATCATATTTCTTCCATTTTGTACATGTTGCTGTACGAAATCGTGCGGCGTTCAACGTGTTAACGTCATGTGTCGTTCCCCGAACGAAGGAAATCGCGGAGCAACGGATTAATAAAATCTTTCTTCGAATCGGAAAGTAATTGTAATAAAAGAAGGTGTAGTCGCGTGCAAGCCTCTCTTAACTCCTGTACCCATCTCGCATTCTTCTAACAAGATAAGCTAAACAATCGTGTCGCGTCGCAGCAAAAGATAACGATATCAGCGACGGTGCGCAGTGAGTCACGGAATCACTAAATGCTTTCTATTCGCTCGTCGTATCGCCGCGATATTCGTGAATTTGACAATCGAGTGTATGTGTGAATCTTACGTGACATATCCCGATTGTCGGCCTACATCGTCGAGAACGTGGCTCGTCCCAACAATACGAAACGTCGGCTATGCAACTGACACGTACAATTTTAATAAGAATTTTCATTAAACCTCTCTTAATTACGAAAACACGCTTTAAGAAGCAAAGCCTTCCGCGCGGTTTTGTATCGAAGCAAAGCTCAATGGGATTGTTCATGACGTATATATATATATACACTGGGCTGGACGGACTGAGATGGAGTTTTGCGTGCGCGAAACAAAGTAAGAAACCAATTGATTTGTCACTTGTGTTTTACAGAGACAAGGTACTCACCCATCGGCTGTTAATCGGTTCACTTTCATGAAAAGTACGCACACCAAAATGAATAGGAGCAACAGAGCGCCGACGATGACTCCGCACGCTATAGCGAAATACAGCAACAACTCATCGGTTTCCTGGAACATCGAACAGGTACGTGTTAACGATGACGATAACGATAAGTAATTTCATGACGAATGCATCGTTGTTATTCATTCCCATCTGCACACCGAAATGTTTCGTTTCGGTAACCGATAAGTTAGACTACGTAACAATTAAAAACTCGTCCCCTCTCATTCTTTACTGTGTCTTCTTCCAGTCTGATTCTCATTTACATTCGCCCTTGAGTTCTCGATGACACAATCGATCAGATCCTATTGCGATTCCGCGGGGAGCCGAATAACTAATCCAAAGAATCCTGAACGATGTCTCAGAGACGCCTTAAAGAATGGACACACCGTCCGCGATGGGAAATGAGAATGCAAGAATGTAAAAGAAACTTCGTCGCGCATGGTTGCTTTGCACTTCCTCGAACCAGCATTTCGCAACCCGCATTTAACGCGGATGTCAACAGACCGAAAAGGGGCAAACAAATAAGCCGATCGGAAAAGGGGAACTCAACGGGCTCCGCGGACCGATCTCTCGCAACAACGAAAATGAGAATCGAAAACTGAACCGATGACCGGGGTCCTTGAGCGCGTGTCACACTGGTCACTCCCGCTCGTTCCTACGCGAATTGCATAGAATTGTTCACGCTTCTCCCGGATCGCTTTCATCGCATAGCTCTGTGATTCTTCTTGCGCCAGGCCAACCTTGAAGGCACATAGTTGCATCTCTAATGGCCGGCCGGCCAAGTGGTCGTCGTAATTAGTGTTACAAAACAAGCATTATTACGGCCCCATGATTAGCCGCAATCCTTGTGAAAGCGTTTCTACCAGTGCGATCACCCGCGCGCCGATCGTCGATCTGATTAATTGCTTGCAAACTAGAAGTCGCGCGAAACGGCGTCACGTACAATAATGTTATTCATGAGGCCGATGCGTCTGGGGTGGTTCGATGGAACGAGCATGCCTGCGAGCGATCGAGTAGTAAATCGGTAATTCATTCATCTGGTCGACGGACTCGAGTGGGCAAATCTTGATGCGCGCGACAGGTTCTCTCGACCGTTTATTTTTTCCATTCGTTTCACTGTATACCGAAGGAAAGTATGAATAGCGCCTGTAATCTCTGCAGAGATTCGATTTTATTCCCAAGTTACGGTATCGGGAACGGCGAGCGTGTCGAAGGCGATCGCTTCGAAACACAAAATGGCAAGTTATGTAAGTGAAATGTAACGAACTGAGCGACCGATGTCAAGAATGAGACCGATATTAATTAATAGGTTACGATCGAGCCCGTCGTTAAGTACGTTTCCTTCAGGTTCGTTCATACATGAATCGAATTCGGCGTCCCAGGGAAATTCCCAGACGCTCTGTATATATCCAAGGAAACCACGCTGGTTTAAATATATATCGGCCGGAGCGATTCGCGGTCAGTCGACAATTTCGACCTCGACTGAGTTTACGTACAACGATAGAAAAAGCAGTAGAATCCGGCTGTGTACTCACCATGGTAAATATGTAGGAGAGTACGAAAGCGAAATGGAGCCCCTCCGGTGACAATACTGGACTGACGCTCGCAATCAAGATATCGGTATCAGCGTGTTATCGTTACGGATTTGATATCTACGAAAATCTCGTGGCATTGTATATCTCGTATTCAACGAAATCGGCATGTCTCCATGTATAAACCGCGTCGAGTCCTCGCAGTACTCCCGGGACCATCGATGATGTAACCCGAGGACAACGGTGGTTGTCTTCAGCAAAGCAGAAACGTATTCGTACGGTAATTACTCATCGTCTGTTAAGCGGGAACTTAATGACCGCTTCCTCGTGTATAAATTGAAATATCAGCGGAGTGAGAAAAATACGGAAGTCGGCGGAGGATTAATAACACGGTCGGTACGCTTCCGGTACCGGGATAGTTCCTTCCGAGCACTCGGATCACTTGAACAGTTCCTCGAACGGAATCGGTGGCTAGGTAAACGAACACTTGTATGAGACCGGGACGAGAATGAAGCAAAGTGTGTAACAGTGCCAGCAAAGCAATGCTGAATGCTGATAAACCCCTCCAGGCTGTGGTAGGTGTATATGTACACACGTGCGTGCGCGGCTGACTTCTTGCAAGGGTATTCGCGTCCTCCGCGCTCGCCTATCAACTCCACACGCGCCACAATTTCTACGTGGGTATCGTTAAATACCTGTATCAGAGTAAAACGACGAACCTGCCGCGTAGACGAAGACGCGCCGCGACGCTGGACGTGAATGACACCGCGAACACCTGTCTCTGTGAAAAGAGCTATGTAAACACCGCGCTCGTAACAGACCTATTTTCCTTCTTTTTTTTCTTCTTTTTCTCGTTACGCAAGCGTTACCGTGTCTAATGGTGCAATTAGAGTAAGTCGTCGTTATTCAACGGAAATTATTTCTCATGAGTTTTTAATTAGAATTAGTCTCATTGGAATCGGCCGCATGAACCATGTGCACCGTTCTTCCGACGCGCGGACGTTATCTGAATGAAACAGGAGGATCGCGAATTACCGAGGATCGCGTGGCGGTGAATGCTGAGGCGGATTCGTTGCATTTTTCCGTTCTGACGAAGAACTGTGTAAATGATAGGGAAGTTATAGATGCGAATGATCGCAGAGGTGTGTGAAAAAGGTTGCTGATTTATGATTTATATTTTGAAAATTTATAAAAATACATAATAAATAACAAGTTCGTTTAATATATCTTTTTTTAAACTCTTTAGTTAACCGATAATAATCACAATAGCAGTCTGATGTTTTTATAAAAATACAAATGTTGTATAAAATACATGCTACGCATTGTAATCCTTTCTAGTAGCAAAACTAGATTAAAGTTTGTATTAATGAAGTTTTATATATATGTACATATAGAGTGACATGTTTTTATAATATTTACACCATATGGTTCAATGTCACATTATTGTATGCCTTGAAGTCATAATCACTTGGTATCATCAACCACTGCAACACGTAAGGAAGCATCATAGACATACTTAAATATAAGTAGTAAGGAATAGGTTGTGTAGAACCTATAGGACAAAACCATAATCCCCTTCGTGTGCCATCACGTATGTGATGGCTTAAGAAGCTTGCTAAAATCATCCAGGAGACATGGCTTAGTTGTGGATGATTATACGCGCTCGAGTAATAATTAAGTATGAGCCAGATTATAATGGGAAGTGTTGTACAATGCATAAATGGTCGTTTTTCCAAGTGCGTGGCATCCTAAAAGAAATAATACAAAGTCGAATTATTTGTGTATTGTAAAAAAGAATATATTTTTATCGGTATGGTGTTTTATAATGATAGTAATACATACGCTTAACTTCCAGCTCCATGCTGCAATAAAGTGGTCTATATCAATAAGAGATGATAAAACGGTGCACCAGATAATGCTACGAAAATTTTGCGTAAGAGGCCTTTTTAACAAAGTTAAAATAACTGCCCAAATGAGACCACCGACGATCGCATGAGTAATATTGTCAAATATTGCGCGTGATGCAGCAGTCTTTCCATATCTTAAACCTTGATCACCAATGGACGAACAAAGACCTATAGCACCAGTCAATACGAATTGCACAAAAAGCTCTTTTTTTTCAAGAAACATTCCAACAAGGCTTACTAAAAATATTCAACAATCACTTCTTATTGACTTTTTCTTTGCTGACGTTTACAAGAAAAAAATATTCTGTAGACAAGAGTCTGCCATTTTGTATTATCAATGCCACGATATACTGCATTCATGAATAATTCAGTATAATCAATTTTAGCTAATTTTCTAATAAATAACGTAATAAATAGTGCTTTAATATGCTTATATTAAAAGTTAATATAAATTTATCTTATTTTTCTTTATTTTGTATAACGAAATAAAATGACCTTTAATCATTTCAGATTTATTGTGGTATGTAAACATTCAAGATGGTGTCGGTCTGTAGCTAAGGCGGGAGTCTTTTTTGACTGAGTGAGTTGTTGTCAATCGAAAGAAACTATCGTGACATTTGGGTAACACAAGGGCTGAAGAACTCCTGGTGAGAGAAAGCAAACTCAAGAAGACGCCGTACACTAAACCTGTATAACATAATGGTAAATAAATTTTTCGTTCAATAAAAGCATTGAATATGCTTTGTTTTGAAAATCGCATATGTGATATAGCTTTTGTTCTCAGCGTGCTTCGTTACTTATTTATACCATCGTATAGTTCGAGAAACACGTGTTCCTAAAATTTATTTAGACTATTTGATAGAGTACAACTGTTAGATAATCGTGATAAAATAATTGTTTCGTTATAACTTGCATTAAAGATGTCTAACGTGAAGGTAACTGTATTTTTACTTAAAATTTGGAAATTTACGTTAGTGTACGAAGCAAATAAATCAGTTGCAGATTCATTTAAACTGCTATCATAATGACTTCTTTAATAATATTCATATTACAATTTCCTTGTAATGTGTGAAAAGTTCATAAAAATGTACATACAATTTATATGTATCAATGTGTACCATACATTTTTTATTCTTACTAAAAAAATGTAACATTTTCTCATGGTTGTATATCTGTGCTTCTAATTTTAGCCTCCTGATACCAAAAGAGAAGAATTTCGAAAGTATCTTGAAAGGGCAGGTGTTTTGGATGCGCTTACAAAGGTACTTGTATCTTTGTATGAAGAACCTGAGAAACCTGATGATGCTTTAGAGTATCCTTTTGTTATAACACAAAAATTAATTGAAGAATAATAGCAGGTACTTCATTGATAATATACGTTTTGTGAACAATAGTTCCTTAATTATGTAATAGATTTGTCCGCCAAAACATTGGAGGTATCACAGAAACTGACTTAGAAATGGAATCATTAAGAAAGGAATTAGAAGAAGCGAAAGCTAAGATTGTTGAATTAAAGGCCAAATTGCTGAAGTATGAAGCAGCTGAAGATGTAGAATAATAATAACCACATATTATATTATACCTACAATATATGTGACACTGACAATGACTTCCGTGGGAAGTTAGACAGACTATGTGCCTTACAATAGAAATAGCAATGAACTCGAGAACATTTTGAAGCATAAGATAAATTAAGTTTTGTTTTACACATTCCATTAGTCGTATGTCTATTTCTTAATCATGTTTGCAAAGCTATGACTGATAATTTTCGTATTTATTCTATAACAAATTTAAATGTATCTAAAAACATAAGACATAGTTAATAGTTACAGTACGAAAGCAGGATATGATAAAATAGAAAGTAATCACTGAACTAAAGTTTTATTTCATTTAATATTTTTATGA